ATTTCCAGACTAACATTTCTATGAAGAATGAATGCCACCTAGTGGTGAGAGGCAGGACTTTATTTCAAAGAAACAATGAAAGAGGAAAGTATGTTTTAGCTTGTACATATATGGTACAGCGGTTTATGATAGAAAATGATATGGGTATTAGGGGCTAAAAAAAAAGCGTTGGTAAAAATGTATCAAAAGATCTGATTCACACCAATTATCTGCATGGAATGCCTAAAGACTTCCTTAAAGCGTATTTCTTTTCTTAACATTATTCTTAATGACAGACCTTAGAGAAGACAGATTGCATCTTTAGCACAGACTGAATTAAGCTTTAGACAATCTGCTCATTAATTCATACTATCGTATACCTTGTTATTGATTGTTCAGCCAAAGAAATGTTTAAACAGGGAATTATAAATAAATAAAATCTCAGAGAAAATACTCACAACTATGGGTTGTGATAATTAGATACAATTAGATTAAATCGCACATGACCTATTGATCAGATTCCAAGTCTGTTTTTAGCAGACCTATTTTCATTCACATTCAATAATGCTCATTATATCCAATGCAACAATTGTTTTATCCTCACCAATTAGATACAATTTCAGAGCATTTGTTAAATCTCAAAATGCATGGAATATAACTCCCAATACATAAATTAAAATATAATACCCTTTATTATTATTTTTATTATTATTATTATTATTAATAATAATAATAATAAATAACAACAAAATACTATTAAAACAACATATAGTAAAAGTTAATAATTTATCATGATTACACAGGTAATCATTTTTAATATCTGCAAAAAAACTAAATTAGTTGAAATTTTTAAAATTGAGTAAATTAAATATAGAAAACAAATTATCATACCTGCACCATAATGCAGGGTTCCACACAATTCATTTAGGTTTTGTTTTAACACAAATCAATTAATTTAACTTAACAAATGTAAATTGATTGAACAAAAATCTCAAGAAATTTGTTGTTTCAGCTCATTTCAAATAGGTAATTTGAACAAGCAGCAAAAACATTTTTTAAGTGTATAATTTCTTCAATCTAACAGATTATAGATGACATTCATAATACACCATGTATAAAAACCATACACAATAATAATAAGAAGAAGAATAACAACAACAACAGTAGTTAACACAATGCTCTATTTTTCTAAATGCATTTGATAAAGCTCAAAAAGGAGAAACATTCAATAATTGATGTCATATATTCAATCCAATGATTTGTAAATGTAATCTATAAAACATAAATACAGAACATAACACTGCTATTGTGACCCTGAACCACAAAACCATTAGTGTCATTAGTTCTCAATATTTTTTTCTAATTAAATAAGCTTTCCATTGACTTAGTTTATGAAAATAGTTGGCCTTGATACATCTGTTTAAAAATCTAAATCTTGATGAAATCACCATTAAAGTTGCCTAAATGAAGTGCTTAGCAAAACAAGGCAAGACAAGCTTATTTATGTAGCACATTTCATACACAGTGGCAATTCAAAGTGCTTTACATAAACAAGAATAAAAAGACAAGTATAAGAAAATAAAAAACTAATAATAACAATGATTAAAAACAGATTAAATGTGTTAGTTTATTAAAAAGCAATGCACATTAGGCTACTAAACAAAAAATATGTGTACAGTAAGACAAATCAATTTAATTCTTTACTTAATATTCAACTGGTAGGCTATTTGGCGTAAACGAAAAATCCTTCTGACCTATTGCCAAAAATATATCCGAGCAAGATAATACATAATTAATAATTAATCAATCAATGAACTTTCTTGAAGTTATTGTGGTGAATGAGCCCATGCGTTTGCGAACGCAATTTACGGACACGTGTCATGACCAGAATCTCAAAAATAAATAAAAAAAATTGGATGTGTGTGATATTATTGAGACAGGACACAAGAGAATAAGTAACAAAATGAAAACAAGCTCCATAAAACGATTTGCATACACAAATCAAAGCGAGACAGGAGTTTGAGCAGGAGCAACGATATGCTATTTCAACAGCAGCTACTTTCATATGTGCTTCTAGCCGAGAGAGATTATTGATCTAGGTCGAGCTGCACCTCTTTGTTCGCCAAGCTTACCCAGATGTGTTGTCTTACATATTAAATATATTCCTGTCACCCAGACGCACTTCAAACAGATGAATGCCAACATGTTTAGCTTCAGTTGTCAAATCTGACCTCTCAGTCATTTCATGGGAGCAGTGATTCGGCTCTGACCTGTGATGGACCTGTTCCAGTAATGCTGCAGGAGACCTCAGTTCGCTCACTTATTGATTTTGGAAAAGGGGAGGGGGGGTGGAGGTTCATGGGTTGAGGCTCCAGCAGCCCCTCATCATCACTCCCAACAGCCCCTGTGGCACCCAGAAACCCACAGCGGGAGGTGAACCCCTGCTCTCCGAGGAACCTGCCAACACTATCAAAAAGAAGAAAAGCAGAGATTAAGGCTGGAGAAAGACAATAAAAAAGCTGAGCGAATGAATGTGTAAGAGAAAGATAAAATGATAAGAGGAACAAAGGCACGAAGGAAAGAGAAAATCCTAGCGTTTAGAAGTCCTGATCAGTATCTCCCCTAAGGTATATTTCTTAATGAGACGTTCACAAGAGAGACGGAAAGCTTTCGTTTTCTCTCCCTTTCCCTCTCTTTTTTGCTTTTAAAACGCAAATTATTACACGACACATTTTAGTCCGTGAATTGAACGCTTCTTTCGGAGCTCATGTTCGGTGGGTGGCTGAGGAAGGCCATGTTAATTAAACCTCGGGGAGTTTTGCGCATTTGAATGTCACAGAAATAGCGGATGGTGCGGGAACGCAAACATGTTGACTATGCAGTTTGCATTAGGGCAAAAGACATCAAGTTGGTGCTAATTTGCGTGCAGCTATTCCTGTGTGGCGCCGCGCCAGTCTTCTCTGTAGCGTTTCCCCCACTGTAAGTTATTAATGTTTGTCATTAGACACATTATGCTTGAGGACAGTGACTGGAAACCAGCACATTTATATGGGACAAATATTTACAATAGCATGCTCTCGAGTATTCCGAGAAGAAAGGAACCAAACTACATTAACGCATGGTAATTAACCACAAGGGCCCCCAGATCCAGGGTGGCAGATAAATTGGTCCCTGAGATGCTTAGGACAGTCTTGAGCTAATCCTTCATTACAAAAAGATAAATGCAAACGACATCATTAGCATAAAACTGATTAGATAAAATTCTTATGGTTCTTTTTTTGAACGGATGGCCTTACAAGGCTTCTAATATTATGCAAAAGGCAAAAGAGTGAATAACAATGGAAAACGTCAAATCATTGCATCTAAAATATATATTTTTTATAAGGTCATCAAAAATCAATAGTATAACAATATTTGTGAAAGGACATGATTATCAGACAGACTTTAATATATCCTAGTGATGTTTCATTTTAAAATAACATTTCAATAAAGTTTTGTAAAGAGCACAACATATACGGTATACATGCTCTCTTTTAAATTAATATTTCCTATAAGATGCTATACAATATTATATCTGTGCATATTAGTTAGTACTGAAGCCAAATCTGGGACTAATCAAACAAAACAGCTTACAACAATGGTTCAAATATTAGTACAACCAAATGTATATGTTAGGGGAAAATATTTAATAACAATAAAAAATAAAAATTAGAAGAAACATTTATAAAATTTAGCTGACATGATATAGTGTGTAATTTTTCGTGCAAAATTTCACTTGCATCTAAATGCATTATCCTTCTATTTCTAAAGATGTTCAGTGAATAATAAAATATTACTATTTAGTTTAGTAAATGCATTTTGTTTAAAACCACCAAAATATATGATTTATATTCAATGAGACATGGATACAAATATTATTTTTAAAATGGGGTGTACTCATTTATGCTGAGTGCTTTATGTATACACACACAAATACAGAAAATATAAAAATATATACAATAAAGTTGGCGTCAGAATTATTAGCCCCCCTAAATTATTTCTTTTTAACGAAGAGATTTTTTCAACACATTTCTAAAAATAATAGTTTTAATAACTTATTTCTAATAACTGATTTATTTTATGACTTTGCTATGATGACACCACATAACATTTTACTAGTTATTTTTCATGACACTTCTAAGCTTTTGTATAACAATGGTTTGTTCTGAAGACGATTAAAAAAATATAGCTTAAAGGTGCGAATAATATTGACCTTAACATAGTTAAAAAAAAAATAAAAACTTATTCTCGCCGAAACAAAACAAATAAGACTTTCTCCAGAAGAAAAATTATTATTAGACATACTGTGAAAATTTATTTGCGCAATGCACGTAATCTTTGCAATTGAAATTTGTTTTAATGTGCTGGTGCTATACCTCTACACTACCTTAAAGCTGTATATATTGTGTATATTTGACAATACATCCCTTGTGTACTACCTGCATGGTGACCAAACTCTTATTTCAATAGACATAACTTTTTAATAAAACCACAAATAATGGACCACAAACCACTGGATGTACTTACTGAGAAATAGATAAAAATATTTATTTTTAAAAGGGAGTGTACTCATTTAGCTAAGCCCTGTGTATACACACATGCAAGTTCAGACAAAGTATATTGTTTCATCTTTACATACATTGTATACATTTTATATGCCACCCTATTTTGAAAATTAGAAATTAGACTTTTTTCCATTAACACTTTGGAATAAGGTATCCTTAATAAACAGGTAATACACTGAACCAATGGAATGATCAATATAGAGAATAAATCTTTTTTTTAATCATAGTTCATAATATAATTGTTCATTGCTCATGCTAGTTATGTGTATTTATTTTATCAGATCAAATTATTGGTTTAAAATGAAACCTTAAATCATAAAGCATTACCAAAGTAACACGGCAAATTGTATTTATTTTGGACAGCTTATTGGGATGCATTAAAAATAAAGCAATCACAAAAGAAAGAGACTTGCAATATTTTGTGACAGGAATCAACACTTTTATTAAAAAAAACTTTCGAACTTAAGAGTAAGACTTCTATGCTAATTGTGCAACTTCAGCCTTGATCGTGTGAAGTGGGACAATTGCTGGGGAAACATAGTGATGTGCGATTATGCTTTCATGCTAATGTGTCTAAAATATTCTTCATGTGCAAGTCAGGTCAAAACATCAAGCGCACAATAATTTACACAGAGCTAAAATAGCAAATCAAATAAACGAACAAACAAACAAGCAGTAACCTCTCCAAAACGTGGTACTCAATTTAAAACAGTGGTTTGCGCCATCAGTGAATTAAGTGCTTTTCAAGTCATGTATCATCTGCCAAATAAAAAAAGAAAAGGCAAAGAAAATCAATGATTTTTTTTTGTATTTTTGATGGTAATCACAATAAGAACTTTGGTCCATTTCATTTCCGGTAGAGTAGTTTGTGTGAGGCACAGGACTACAAGAGGGTAGAAGCAGAAACGGGTGGAGTTGTGCATAGACGAGGGGTCTCCGCTGCCATGCAGGGCACACTCCATCTTACAGAAGTATTACCGTCTCTTGCTCCCTTTCTGTCTTTTTTTTTTCCTCTGGTCAGGCGTTTTTGCTGACTGCAGCTGTAAGTGCAGCCAGTTCCTCTGTCAGCACTTTGCCCTCCTTCATCTTCACCAGCATGGCGTCCATCAGCAGGCCTGCAGAGGGGATCTAGGGAGAGAGAAAGAGAGAGAGAGAGAGGGAGAGGGGGAAAGGAAAGAAAAGCTGTCAAAAAGTAGAGAGAGGCTTTTTTCCTTTGTGTTTTTTGACACCAGACAGCTTCTCCGGGGTGTCTTTGGCTTTGATGACGACTCTAACCTGTGATGAAACTCCAGACTTCACTCTGATTAATTATGACAAGGAACAAATTCAAGGAACAGGTCACGACGGCTTTTGTTTTTGTGGGGAACAACACACATCCTCAAAAAGTAAATGGGATTATTCTGAGGTCTGATTTGCTGCCGTGCCACTCACAGCCTGCCACTACTCCTGGCAGTGTTGAACCGGCGGCGTGAGCGCCAAACATATACTCTTACTAGGCTTTCTTCTTCCCCTCAAAACCTTCTCAAGGACTCAAAGGCTGGTAATTAGCATTGGGGATCAAAGGCCTGCATCATCCATAAATATTGAATTAAACTTTTCGAAAAAGACACACAGTAACATGCATTTTTTATACTCTTCATTGAGCGACTCTGCGCAGAAAAATAAATGGTCTTAACTCCGGGAGAATCCAGCGTGTCAGATTGAAAAGAGAGACGTGTAAGCGCAAGTGCAAGGGAGATGCATCGCAAATGAAGAGGAAAGAAAGTCAGAGGGAGAAAAGTGTGCGTCTCATTAGGGAGAGAGGGAGCAGTACTTTCCCCTGGGGCAGGTAGACTGGAGTAGAAGCTGGTCTCAGTGCTGACTTCATCAAAAGCGCTGCTAAACTTCAACTACAGAGGAAATGGCTGCAGGGGTTATGGCAGTGGAATGTAATATTATTTAATTACTCTTAAAACTGTAGCAGCGTTTATGGCACTACGCTGGCATCTGATGCCACGCTAGGCTGGGAGGCCTAAGTCCCATCTTGGCTGCGCTCGCTCAAAGAGGCCCACGGGGACGGCAGGCTCCGTCATTATCATGTAACAGCTGCTTTAGCAGGTAATCTCCTCCCTTTGGACTGCCCTGGTGAGCTGTTCACTATTCAGCGAAGCTCTCTTTTGGGCTGCGTTTTCATTAACACGCCCAGGAGTTGATTCGGAATCGACTGGCCTGGCCCGAGGAGAAACCTGCAACAATATGAAGGTGTTTTATAGTCCAATTAAGTGACGCTGCTTTCATAGAGTGTGAAGGCGCCTGGGGCGAAGCTACAGGCTCAGTCACAATACACTCTGAGCTTCATCCCACTAAGACACACACCCACAGATACTCTCTCTAAATGGACTGAGCAGACTCCTTTTGTTACTGGCATTAAGAGTTTCTTTTGAGGAGTAAAATTTGCTTAAAATCACCCACCTTTTGGTGAAGTGTCGCTACAGGTTGAGCTAAAAATATATGCAAAAAATGCCGTTGCTTACTTTTTTCCGTGAGTGCAGAACAAATAATGAAATCTGCTTTGTTGACAGGCAACACTTCTGATTCCACTTCCATGCGTTCTGACAAACTCTTCCTCATCTAGGCCACCATGGAGCACGGATAAAAAACAAACATTTCTGATCTTTGATCTTCACAAAATTAATTTGAAATCAAAATTATTGAACGTGGGAATAACGATGAGGAAAAAAAAAAAAAAACACCCAAGACCTACTAAAGTCTGCATTTGATTAGAAGATAATGAATGTGTCACATGTGGGAAAACAAGAGATCAGGTAAGAAAATCAAGCGTAACACCAATCTATTCTTCTGTGCCAGTAATTACCCACCCTGCAATGCCTCTCTTCTCCATTCTCCCTTTCAGGCCACAGGAGACCTATATGAAAGGGAATTGGACACTTGGGGCAACAGATACTTGTAATTAAAACTCCTTTTTTAAATGTTGTTTCTTACATCGTCAGGTCTATACAACCTGAGCCGGTAGATCTGACCTAAATACACTGTAGAATAAATATGGAGCACTCCCTAAGTCTTTGTTCCCTTTCTCTCTCATTAGGAACTGATGGAGGGGAGGGAGCAGAATGAGGATCAAACAATAGCATCACGCTCTGAGTAAAGTGGTCTGTTGACGATGCTGTCATGTTAAGTTCACTGGTGCTTGACATCGCTGATGAATGCATATAGAGTGATGGTCATTGTGTGGCATGGCGGTCGATAATGAACAAAAGGCAAATATCTATAAAAGTTTAAAAGCTATGTGCATTTTTCTACGATTAAAGGATAACTTCGCCAAGTCGGACAGAGATATGTATTTATTCACAAAATTATCCATTTAGAAATATGCCCCCCTTTAAATGTTTTTTCCATTTTTAAATTTGAGGACATATATATACATACATATATATATATATATATATATATATATATATATATATATATATATATATATATATATATACATACACATGTATACTGTCTTATGGAGAAATATATAAATATACCCCCCCCCCCCCAAAAAAAAAGTCTACAGAACAAACCATCGTTATACAATAACTTGCCAAACTACCCTAGCCCGCCTAGTTAACCTAATGAACCAAGTTAAGCCTTTAAATGTAACTTTAAGCTCTATAAAAGTGTCTTGAAAAATATCTAGTCAAATATTATTTACTGTCATAATGGCAAAGATAAACTAAATCAGTTATTAGAAATTAGTTATTAAAACTATTACATTTGGAAATGTGTTAAAAAAATGGGAAATTGGGGAAAACATAAACAAGGTGGCTAATAATTTAGGGGGGCTAATAATTTCAACTGTACCTTTTTTCTCAAAATAGTATTAAAGTCAAGCAGTTTAGGCTTTTTTTCTTTTTTCAGTAAATCAACAAGCATTTTAAATACTGACATGAATGCAACTAAAATAAAAATAAAATCATGTTACAAAACGTACAAAAGTACATAAAATAAACTGTTAAAACTGAATATAAAAAGTAAATGTAAAATATGAGCAATATGAACTGTATTGTTAAATGTGAGAAACTGATGCTTCCGTCAATATAACTCTTTTGATTCAGAATGTAAACTGTTCATCATAAACAGGTGTATTTACGTAATTAAATGTAGATTTTCTGTATCTTCTACATTTTTTCCAAAATGTACAGTTGAAGTCAGAATTATTAGCCCCCCTGAATTATTAGAATCTTAATGTTTATTTTTTCCCCCAATATATGTTTGATGGAGAGAAGATTTTTTTTTAAACACATTTCTAAACATAATAGTTTTAATACCTCATTTCTAATACCTGATTTATTTGATCTCTGCCATGATGACAGTAAATAATATTTGACTAGATATTTTTCAAGACACTTCTATACAGCTTAAAGTCAGATTTAAGGTTTATTAGGTTAACTAGGCAGGTTAGGGTAATTAGGCAAGTTATTGTATAACGATGGTTTGTTCTGTAGACTATTAAAAAAAAAAACTAGCTTTAAGGGGCTAATAATGTTGACCTTAAATGGTGTTTAAAAAATTAACAACTGCTTTTATTCTAGCTGAAATAAAACAAATAAGACTTTCTTAGGAAGAAGAAATATTATCAGACATGCTGTGAAAATGCATTTTTTAAACAAATTCTTGCTCTGTTAAACATCATTTGGGAAATATATATATATATATATATATATATATATATATATATATATATATATATATATAAATTAAAATCGTTGGGGGGCGGGGGTTGGTGCTAATAATTCTGACTTCAACTGTATTTGTTGTACAATGTAAATAAGCAAAACAAATTTGCTGTCGATTGACTGCAATAAATCAAGAAAATTAAACAAGTGGATTTCAAAAACTGATTTTTTTTAGCACTTCAGCAATTAAACCGACACATTCCCTCAGCAGGCAGTGGGATAATATTTCACACATATACTGTACCTTCAGTCAGTCTCAGCTCAAACCTAAAAGAGCAGAAATATTACAGTCAAAATTCGGACATTCTGCTGGTGGTGAAGTGATATGAGGGCGAAGGAGGGGCCATGATTTCTGAAATGACTGCGTGCTGTCAGGCCGAGATGAATGTGCTTGATAAATGACTAGAGGCAGGGTGGTTCAGTTCATTAGCTCTAACAGTCATTTCCATCTCTTCATAAAGGCCGTGGTGTTATAATTTACCTCTAGTCAATAATTAGGAATCCACAAATAAACGCAAGCAATTAAATGTCTACTGCTACTGGGCGAAGGGGGTCCCTAGGCTGGATGAGGGTTTGCGGGTGGACACTCAGCATAGGATGGGTTATTCACGGCCTGACACGTTAAGCCCGCAGGGAGCACTGTGGACTAAATGCTTATAGGTCGGTGATGTTATTCCCAGGTTGTGACCCTCAAGTGAGGAAATGTTGTCTCATTAAGTGAGAAGGGAATGAGTTTAGAGGTGCTTGGAGCACGTCGCGGCAAGAAAAGGGGAAATAAAAAGCCAGATATCCAAAGAGAGAGAGATAGAGAGAGAGAGATATGTTCATTAATGTTATTTGAAGCCAGCAAAGCGGAAACTCGCTGTGGCAAAGGCAACAGATCAGAAGCAACAGCCCGTAAGCTTTTGTGTGATTTCCTTTCCTGTGCGACTCAGACAGGCAGATAAAATGACATGAGAGTGAAAGGCACCTCTTCAAAACGCGCACACCGAGTCTCAACATTATTCTGACATGCATGAGCTTGTTACGTTGACATGTGGCACTGGAGTGATGGTTGGGCTATTGACAGGGCCACAGCAGTAATAAGAAGTCGTCACACTGGTACCGCCATTAGTGGCAGACAGTGACAGCTCACGCTACACACCGAGACTGACAGGCGAGAGAAAAGACCTTGCTTAGGTAGCACGCACACACATATATTACCATTCCAGGTTTTACACATAAATAAAATGGATACGCTGGTGGATTCGGACCATCCAACATACGAAGATCAAACAACATAGGCTCTTTGGAAAAACGTGCTTCTGCTTCGATTTGTGCTTCAAGCTGCCAAAATCTACCTACGTTTCACTGCAGTTTCCGGTTGAAACGAACACTAGAGGGCATTGAAATATCAGCCATTTCTATTACTTTGACACTCATTATGATTTGCAGCAATTAGCAATTATAATTAGTATTTCACCACAGTGTATGCTTTGTAAACTCATTGCACAATTTCATTACACTAACAGCTCTGTATAGTTTTACTGGCAAAATAAACTTCCTCGGTTTAGAATTGTAATGAATACAAGTTCTGTAAAACACGATTCGTCATAAAAAAAGTGCAATGACTTAAGCAAATATTTGAATGTTATGGATAATTTTTAGTGTATGCAGAGGGTAAAAATGAATGCTCATCATGCAAGTAAAAATTAGCACTGGAAAGTATATGAAAGAGCATTATTTGCCACTCTTCTTTTTAAAAAATGAATTCTAACAATCTCCAAAATTGTTAGTCTCCAAATGTGATATGATTTACAGATTTCTGTTTTTTGTTTTATTGTGAGCAGCTCTTAATTATAGTGATTTTAGTATCTCTGAGCGGATTGGTCTACTGTAAATGCTGCTTCCCACAAACTGCATTTCAGCACGATGCAGGGAGAACATGCAAACTCCACACAGAAATGCCAACTGAGCAAAGGCTCGAATCAGCGACCCAGCGACATTCTTGCTGTGAGGCGACAGCACTACCTACTGCGCCACTGTGTTGCCCTAAAATTGCAACATGTCCCATTCCAACAGATTTTAAATCTGTCGCCAACAAAAAAGAAGTTTCCCTGTGGTTTTAGGTCAAAATAAAAGCTCTATGATTTAAAATTTAAAAGCAAAGAAAACATTAATTTTAAAATTGTATTGTAAATTTTGTATTATTATTATTTGTAAATAAATGAAAATTCTTATAAAATAATTATCATTTCATATGTATTACAGTGATTTATTTATTGGTTTAAATTATAATTAAATTAATTACAGTTAAAGTCAGATATATTAGCCCCTGTTTATTTTTTTCCTCAAATTCTGTTAAACGGAGAAAAGACATTTAATGGAGAAACACATTTCTAAACATAATAGTTTTAATAACTCATTTCTAATAACTGATTTATTTTATCTTTGCCATGATGACAGTAGGTAAAATTAGACTAGATATTTTTCAAAACACTTCTATACAGCTTAGAGTGACATTTAAAGGCTTAACTAGGTTAATTAGGTTAACTAGGCAAGTTAGGGTAATTTGGCAAGTTATTGTATAGCTATGGTTTGTTTTGTAGACTATCAAAAAAAAAAAAATAGCTTAAAGGGGCTAATAATTTTGACCTTAAAATGTTTTTAAAAACTTAAAAACTGCTTTTATTCTAGCGGAAATAAAACAAATAAGACTTTTAAAATCTATTATCAGACATACTGTGAAAATTTCCTTGGTCTGTTAACCATAATTTGGGAAATATTCAAAAAAGAAAAAAAATTCAAAGGGGGTTTAATCATTCGGATTTCAACTGTAAATTTCCTCTATATGTTCCAGTTGCTCTTTATTGAAGCCATTTCATGGCAGGTAAATTATTTTAAGGGCACTACATTTTCAGCAGTTATAAGCAGGTGTGGAAAAATGTTTGTTTAAGGCCACGCGTTATTGTGAAAAAATTGTATCGCATCAATCAATTACGAAAATGTTCTTTCCTGATCTGATGTGTTCAGCAAACAATGTAATAAATCAATGATACACATTCTTCTGTTTTGGTAAAGAGACACAATTTTTTAAAAAAGAGACACGTTTTACACTTTGAACGTGTTGAGAAAAAAGGAGACACAAAATATCACTTTGTAGAAAAAACGACACGGGCATGTTTTTTTTTTTTCAATGAGCCTGCTTGAGATGAAAACATGCAAGTACAACATAAACAAATCACAACATTGACCTAGTGGTCTGTGTCTTCTTCCCCCCCGTAAAAAAAGAAAACATAAAAAAGCTCACCTGCCAATAAACTCGCTTGATCACAAGTCAGAGGAAGAGCCACCCTCCCTGCGGAGCGCGTTAGGAGACGGAGGGTGGAAAAAAACCAGAGCATGAGCATGTTGAAAGAAAAGAAAAACTAACGCGCGGGTCACTGTGTCGGTGTCAGTGCAGCTCTCTGGGGACTCAGACTGGTCTCAGCCTTGTCATACAGTGAGCAGTTGTGTCGGCCGAGCCGAGAAAACGTCGATAGCAACTTGCCTGTGAAGAGTCTCCTGCGGGCCGCTGCTCTGTTTGTGTGTATGTGTATGTATGTGAGTGTGTCAATAGCAGCCTGCTGGTGGAGAGTCTCTAGTGAAGCTTGGCTCAATCTCCCTGCATCGACAGACCTGCCAGATCAATACTTGGCCCACCACTAACAAGCTGCTTCGGGGTCTCACAGCCCAACAGAGGAAGCAAGAGAAGGGGAGAGAGAGAAAGAGAGAGAGAGAGACTGAGCTGCCTGATGGCAGTCTTCAGAGTCCTCTAAAGTGTCCAGCGGCGAGAGGAAGAGATGTGCAGGCCGGGGATAGACAGGTCACACAGGTCAAAGGTCAAAGCCACTAGCGCTGCAGTGACACGCCAGAGCCGCTGAATAATACTAAATGCATGTTTCAGGCCAAACACACACACACACACACAGAGTCAGAACAGAAATCATGCATTCTTTAATGATCTCCTACATATTGTTGCTAAGAGATTTAATTTTATTCAGAACAAACAAATACTGCATGTAAAAAAAGGCTAAGGTTTGAAACTCGTGAGCTAATTCAGTCGATCTTAATGAACAACACCAATCTTTGCTGTCAACTAGATTTTAAATCTTTAAAACAATGCTTTCATAGTGAGCCTCTGACAATGCCAGTGTGTTGATTTTGATTTTCTCTTTCACTAGAGATGAACCAGTGAGTTTTGAGCTGTGGGTCATGTCATGTCTTTGGAGTTGCTGCAAATACACGCATCAGAACATTTGGTGGTGCTCATGCACTAAAAACTGGACACTGGAGCACACTGCAAAGTGAGCCCGAGCCTGAAAATTACTCCAAATGAAATGTGTGCAGTTGGTTTTTACACTACACACATAACCTATAATTAATGAATATTACTCAAATATTTATGGATTCTTTTGTCTGCATTCTGCTCATATTTACACTTACCTGCATAAAATTACTCCATTCTTGCACTACCATTTTTGTGTGTTTTTTTATTTGCACTTTAGGGTAATATGTTTTGTTTATAAACATTTATATATGTATAAAAATAATTAATTTTAAATAATTATTGATATTTCATTTTTAAGATAAAGAAAAAAAAAACATGATTCGTTTGGGCTATACTGATTTAAAAAACATCAATCTGCAAATTTAAGAATAGGGACTGAGGTAAATTTCTGCAACATTCTTCTCACTCGCTTTATATAAACATATATATATATATATATATATATATATATATAAAATCTTTGTACAGTATTTATATCAAAAGTCAAAACTAATTATACAAATAATAAATACACATTAAATAAAACTAATTCAGATATTATTTAGGAACACTTTTACACCTTTCGTGAATACATTTCATGACTTAAGCCGTGCATCACATCTGTTATTTTGTATGAATTTATCTATTTGTAAATATTATTGCTGAAATTACAGTCCGGATCTTGCTTCTTATAATTCTGTCCTTCTGATAGCCAGATGGCAGAGCAGCTGAAACATGCGCACCATCCAATGTACTGTGATTTCTGTTTCTGTTCAGCCTGACGAATATAGAGCAGTGAATGGACCGTTCATCTATGATTTGTTCCGCTTTTTCACAGTGTAAAAGGCCGTAAAAGATTAATACGTTTATTTTAAACTCTGCAGGATATATTTCAAAAAAGGTCAATTGCACTAAATCTACCACTTTAACAAAATGATGAATATTGATCAATTACGAACGCTAAAAATGAACAAAAATATGTTGAATTGCTAATGAAAACAAACCTGCTGCTGAAGGATGTGCTGAACATGTTCAGTCCAATCTGTGTCTGGCCCACGACCCACAAACGCCTCCTCACACTGCGAATCATAAAACATGGCCGGAAATGCTGTTAAAAGCCATAAAGAAAATACTAAACTTCTTTCGTGTGGGTGTGTAAGAGTGCCACGGTGTCACCGGATGAACCTAAAAGCAGTTCAGCTTAAACATTTGTAAATGTAAAATAAAAAAAGGAATAAAAAAGCACATTAAATATGCATCATTTTGACAGGTCTGATCAGGATATTTACATATACAAATGATTTAAACATTTATAGCAGCAGCAATAATAATAATAATAAAAAAAATAATAATAAAATAATACATTGATTTTAAAAATACACTTTTTGGTTTATCACTTTTCCTTGTAATTCCTATTTGCGACTAATTATTAGTCACTAAGTTTTGTTTCCCACGAGTGAATACTGACCTCATCTGTATCCAGCATGTCCACCAGGTCTGTTTCTGACATGTTGAGGATTGATGCAGCTTTCACCAGTGAGCACTTGGACATTTTGTTTCCTTCTTTTGTACTCTTTTTCTTTCTCCTCAAACGAGCTTTAGTGTCCTGCACATCCTGTGCCAATTCATTAGCCAGAGCCTTAAAAAAAAGAAAGAAAGAACATATATAAAAGCATATAGTGTGTTACAGTACCATCTACACACAGGCGTAATGAACGTGGTGTGATCAACCGCTCGATTTTCAGCGTTTGGGATGATTTGGTCGAATTGGGACGCCTGAATGCTCTTGACTTTTGATGCAAGACGCACTTAAATTTCGAAGGCTCTCGTGTTGATTTGGAGAGGAATTGCACTTTAGAGACGACGAGCTGCTAAAAAACACACACTTTGATTTATTTCTCTTTTTGTTGTTGTATGGCACATATTATAAAAGATGCTCTCAGATGAATGTAAATAATGAGGAGACGAGAGGCTCTTAAAATGGCGGTGGGGAACATCGGGTCTTTTTCTTTGTTGCGCCCGTTGAGGGGCGAGCTAAATGGGAGTTGTTGCTAAATACTGAGAGACAATTAAATGTTAAAGCTGCCACTGTACATGAGAAAGTCAATAAAGTGAGCTCCCCTTTGTTTCATTTTCAGCTTATTGATCGTAGCAATAATCTCTTGTATCATTCCCCATAAGCCTTGTGAAAACCTGACCTTGGAATGGACAGTCTGTGTGTGTGTGTGTGATTCCAGCATGGTCCCGGTAAACCCACAGAAGTATAAGTGAGAGCAATCACACGCAGTTGATCAGAGCGCAGTTCTTTGGGGCATGCTCCATTTCCCACATCTCCCCATCACCGTTATTTGTTTCATAAAGCCTTCATCATAAATACTTCAAATGGATCTTCATTATATTTCAGGGGATGCTACTGAATTACATAAAGGCTCGTCTCAGGTCCACACGTTCACATACTATGAATGTGAAGTGATGCCATTCGGCGCTAAAGCAATTAAACTAGCAAATGTCTCTATCAGGTGTGAACTCTAAAAACAATCATTTATGTTCATCAGGGGAGAGCACAAAAAATCAGCGTGCTTCAAAGCAGAGGTGGCTTAGCCAAATTAATTTAAAGGTGCAGTTTGCTGCCAAAAAACAAGCACTCTTTGACCTTGACATACAGTCATAAAAATGTTTTTCGCTTATTTTTGTCGTCCTTTTTCATTCTCATTTGTAAGAAAAAAAAGAAGCTTAGCTTGCTTCATTCTTTTAGAATATAATATCTTTTATTGCAAGAACCACAAAAAAATGTAAGTGGTGCAAAATGTTTTTTTATTTGATTTTACTTTTTTCTTGCCTGAAATTAATAAGATAAGACAAATAGACAACAATCTGAAAGACAACAGCGAACAAATTCTCTCTAATGTTGTCTTCTAAGTTCTCATACAATTTTAGTTAAAGGGGAGAGTTGTGCCCTTGTCAAAACAATAAATTCACTGGATTTTATACTGAATCACTTGATGAAATAATGCATCTCTTCTTTCATTGGACAACTATTTTGGCATTCCAAAAACCATTTTAAAAACAATCTTGTATGTCCTGGTTATATCGGTACCTTGGAATTATAAGGTTCTATCTGTGTTCTGAATGATTTTGAGATACTGACCTTAAAACTTTTTGTATTCCATATAGCAAACAGTATGTGTGTAACAGTTCTCTTTCATACATTAACATAACAGGGACCCTAAATGTACGCTCAATGTACATTATCAAAATTCTCATAAATTTGCAAGATGGGGGAAAATAAACAGGTTAAATGCAGACAGAACCTTCTCATTCTAAAAAAGTCATTTTGTGCTTTGAATTATAAGCTTCTTTCTGGCAGATCATTCATTGAAGCATTACTTTTCAAAAAATGCAATCACAAAAATAAAAATTGGTGTTGTAACAATATGTTGATGCATGAGAAAGTAAACAATTTATTTAATGTTTTTGAATGACTATTTTTTTTATCTTTGCAAATTAAGCATACACGGCTGTGTTAAATATTTTGTCCAGTGCAGATGTTAATTTTATGTGATTATTATGGTCATGTTTATTGAATTTTACGCTTTATATGAACTATTGCATTATAGTTATTGATTTAAATGTCCTATAGATTAAATAAAGTATTTGCCCTTCAAGAATTCATATCAAATTTAAAAACTTTTAAAAGAAAATAGACAATGAGCAAATGAGTTTAATAAACAATGAAAAAGGTTTCACTGACTATATATCCACAAATAAAAATATTTCACATTTAATATATTATTTTATTATTCCTGTATTATTTTCAAGCTTCTGTTGCTTTTTTCAACAATGTAAAATTTAACATTTTATCTCAATGTCAAAAATGCTTCGAAATCATCAAATTTACACACATCTTTTCAGTTTAAGGTTTCTTCTTAATTTTATGTGGTCCAGCATTATTTAGTCCACTCTGATTTTGTGTTTCTTTCTGGTCTTTCCCACTGTCAACGAAGCAATTCAGTGAAATGACAAAGAAAGCTGTTCCTGATTGGTTCTCGTGCATGTATTTGAAATGCTGACTGGCTCACAGAAAGAATCTTAGAGAGCCAAGCTAGTGTTCAACTTTGTAGGTAAAACCTTTTTTGTTTTTTAAATAAAGAGTCTTAAAATGTTAACAGCATATAAGAAAACATCCCATGATGTAAATAAGTTGTCATTTAATAAAAATACGCGAATAACTCAATTTTGACAAAAATGTCAGATAGAACCTTACAATACTAAGGTGACGATATGAGTTTTGAAATACATTCAGTGAAAATCAGATTCATATTCAATGTCACAATTTCTTATTTTTGTATTTAAATTCCTAATTTCTTCTTGTTTGACTAAAACTTAGACCAACATAAGCATCAGACCAGCATAAACAAAATAAAAGTATTGCATAAACAAAAAAGCAATAGGAATAATTTCATTACAATAAATAATATCTTGTTATATTTACAAATTCCATGTCAATGTGCAGAGTGAAATCTGAACGTGTTATGCAAATAATCTTTGTCAACAAGGTGAACAAACACCTGTAAAACTGAGATAAATTGGTCAACATGAACTTTCACTTTTCATTTACATACACTACATAAACATTATTAAACCTGGAACGTTCCAAATACTCCTGAGAGATGCCCAGCTCATCAACAAACTGTCAAAAGAGTCTACGACTTTATTCAAAGCTTAATAGATATTCACTGTCACTAGTCAAAGGGTGGATTCAATTGACCTAAGCCCGGCGCACAGAAAAATCCGAAAAGAGATTAAGCGAATTTATCACATACTCTGACCGCTTCTCAAGAGCCAGCCGAGCTGCAGGAGAGTGTGATGGGGGCCAAGAGGAGAAGGGCTCTTACCCACAATCACCCGAGCCACAGGGCCAATTTACCAGTTCTCTAGCAGAGGAGAAGGATTAGAGGAGACGAGGAGAGAAAGTCCTCTTTAAATGACTTGCCTGCATTAAAGCACGCTGGATTGTATTAGAAGATAAACTAGCGAGGAAATTACCAAGAAAATAATGAAAAAAAAGAGTGCAATTTTTCACTCATGCCACCGGTTGAATAGGGAAGTACTGTAAACGTATACCAGCATCACAAAAGTAAACGAGGTGTTAATGAGCTGTCTTGATGACTTGACGTCATGCTAATCGAACATGCTGCCTAAAAGATGTCTTTATTAGTGCAATTAGAATGGAATGCTATTTGAACTGCTCATCCAGTTTTAAAACCTTACTCTTATAACACACTACGTGTTATCAATTACTCATGGCCATGTGAATTTGCATAATTCAAACAAAGCTCTCCGGTGCATCCCCAAATGGCATTATAATCATCCCAAAAGATCCCTCTTGAAGCTTCCTGACAGGATGGCATGTTCAAAGCTCATCAATCCATGACAGGGGGATGTAGGCCAGAGAGCTGGGCGTCTACAGGGACCATCATTAACACACTGGCAGGAATCAGCTACAGGTTAACTATGTTGACTATAGCAAACCACAGGCTACAAAACATGCTGTGTTTTGATGACAGATTTTTTTGCAAGGGAATTTTGGCATGGAATCAATAGTTTTTTTCTGCAGGGTTTGCATATTGATTATACCTCATATCTAGCAACCCGTTCACGCATTCTGTTTTAGGTGATCGGATCAAAAGCGAAGGGTTGTAAATACAGGGGCAAAACACATTGTGATCTGACCACTGCGACCACATCCCTGGCTTCACTGCATTTGTAATGTAAATACTTCTCAGTCTTGATGCATTCACACGGCCCAGGCTGTGCACTCATCTTTCAACAACAATAAAAATAATAAAAAGAGACAAAAGAAATGACAGATCAATGACAGATTTCAACATGCAGAACATTTAAATTCATTGTAACAAAGTAATTAAACATGAATGCTTTAAAAATAATTTAATGAACTTCAAAATCAATTAGAATAAATTGTTCTATAAGATGAGGATAGACTCCTTCACCTTCATTTTGTTGAATGCGCACGCTGTTTTTCATTTTATTTATATTCTATTTTACCAGGAATTTTCCATTGAAATTTGCATCTCCTCTACCAGGGGGTCCTGGCCAAAATGGCAGTACAAAAAGTTTCAGAAACAAAATTAGACACATAAAATATCACAAATTAAAATGACACAAAATATTCACATGAATCTTCCAGGTTAGACTTCAAACAATTTTTACAAATATTTAGAGATGGAATTGTTTCTAATAACACTCAGCATTTCATTCTATAATGTAGGGCCAAAGGAAGAAAATGCTGTTTAACCAAACTACATACATACTCTAGGAACAGTTAAATATAATTTATACGAATTTCATGCACTATAACTACAAGTACAATATGATAAAAGGTTAAAAACAAAAGATGGCAATTTGAGTAGAAGTATATGCATTGTTCTCCTTGGGTGCAGAAAAAAACATCCAATCTTTTTGTACAAAGTACAATGATGGGTATGTAAAGATCATCACAAATCGTACTGCAGCATGATATATACTATGCAGCTTTTTAAATAGCAAAACTTTTGCATTCTAAAATCTAATGCTGTGTCTCTGGAAGAGGAGGATCTGAAACATTTTAAATATCAAAGCTTTTGTAATCTGATTGTTAGCCTACACAATTCACATCAATGTCCTTTCTCCGTGCTTTCATTTTTAGAGTAAAAATAGTACATATAAATACAAAAAATAAAAATCTAAAATTAAACTGTTTGAGTAAGGCCTCCCACAGAAAGCCCAAAGAAGCATTTTGTTACTAGTAATTACTTTTTTATTTTGTTTTCAGTTTTCATCTTCAATTTTCATTAAAAACCTATATACAGAGTGAAATCATTCAGCTTGCATTTGCAAAGTGTTCCTATTATGACACTGTTAAAGTTACAAATGTAGAAATTCGTATGTCTTTATAGAAGTCAAAGAATAAATGCACCTTTTTAAAAAAATGTCAAAATAGAATTTCAACGAGGCTATAATTACTGGATTAGTAGACATTTCAGATTTTATTTTATGACAAAATGCCATTTGATGCACCATCAATCTACACATGCCAAACATTTCTAAATATGTTAGCATTATAAAAAGTAAATGCACACTTAATTTGACCGCTTAAATATATATACAAAAAATTGAAAAATGAATCAAAGATCTGTCCTTCAAAATTCTTTCACGCTTGGACATAGGATACAAATTTAAGATGCATATTACAACCAGGTGGTAGCAGTAATATGTACAGGATTAAACAGTAATTTAATACATAAGATAGATATTTAAAAGGCCTAAAGCTAAATTGATTGCAAACGTCGGAGAGTTGAGATACCTGAATGAATGTGTGAAACTGGCGCAGCTGAGACTCGGCGAGGGTTAGTTTTCTCTGCAGAGATTCCAGAGTCTGAGAGCTCTGCTCGGTCAAAGCATGCATTTGTTGAGACGCCGTCTGTTCCAACTCAGTCATGGCCTGATCACGCTCGCCTATCCGTGCCTGCAGGACGCTCACTCTCTGCTCCTGGGAATATGCACACAGAAATCACTAATACCATCTAAACAATTCCACTTACTGGAATTTCTTTCAATCGTGTCAGGATTTAGGAAAATATATTTATATAAAAAACACATTGATACTATAGATCAGGGCAATCTGTCCATTTTAGCTGTGCATGCACTGCATTTCCAAAGCATTTAAGAACAATTGCTAATTATTTTGACTCAAATAATAATCATATAATCGAATGTTTGTTATGAACATGGCATTCATAAATGAATTTTTCAACAGTTCTATAAACAGTTTGCTGGTGCCTTTTCTTTATTATTGTTAGAAATAGTCATTAATGATTTTCAATTTACTGGCATGAAATGATTTTGAGTGTGAGGAAAGCAGTCAGTGATTTTCTTGGTCAGGTGTAAAATATGGAGTTATTGCCAAATCTCAATGTATAAAAATCACTCTTAATTTGAAGTAAAAGCCACTGAACTGAGAAAAAATACCTGTACTTTAAAGCAAAGCGGATTTATACAGTGAATATGTGTACATGCGTGTGTGCTCTTTGTTTAAATCTGTTTCTTATTTGTAGTCTCTAATAAATGACATAAAATACTTTAACATGTTACAATAGCTATCTAGTAAAACAATAGAACGGAACCGCAGATCAATGGAATACGATGAAACTGGGGCAAAGTATGGCATTGAGGCCAAACATCAAACAAGACCGATGGTAATTAGGTGAATAAAAAAATCTCTTATAAGACAACGAAGGACCAAAACGAGCATTTTGTCTATTCTTGATGAAAATATACTGATGCAGATAGTCAACACTCTTGCACCTTTTTCTGAAGCTCCTCTTTGAGTTTGCGGCTGCTTGTCTCCTGCTGAGTTTTTTCTGCAGTGGCAACTGTCAATCTTCTCTTGAGAGAGTCGACAAGAGCTTTCCGGTTAGTTGACTCATCAGAGAGTGATTTTATCTAACAAAGAGAAGCAATTGTTATTAAATAGGAGCGGGGTCGCTCAGACCCGAAAATTCAATTACTTCAATATTTTTAAACAGACAGTGAAATGTGGAAGTCTGGGAAGTTCAGATTCAGGATGAGTGACACGATCAATAACGGCAGAGAGAATAATTAATTCCAGGTTGCTCCAAGGCTGTTGCCATGGCTAGTGCACTATCTATCTGTTGTTTGAGCAGGACGTACTTTCTTCTCCAAGTCTTCAGTCGCTGTTTTGTGGCTCCTCTCAGAGTCCTGGCATATCTTTAGTCTGCTCCTGAGATCTTCCACCAGCTGCCTTTTCATCGTTACATCCCTCTCTAAAACACCAATCCTGTGAGCGCATTAATATTTACAGTATTAGTGTTTATCTTTTGTTTTTGTTTTTCATGTCAAGAATGGAACGTGGACTCGATCACTTTAAAAATTAACAAATAGACATGAATAATTGAACATGGAGAAAACAAATAAAATGCCAGCAGTCTTGTAACCAGATTCCTTCTAAATAGTTGAAACATCTCTGCATCTGCGAGACAGAAAAGTGCTGGAATATGTTAACATTTGAGGGCTGTTTTACAGACTGCCTCCTTGACCAGAGCCGCTATAATGATGAGTAAAGGTCCTTTTTAAATAAATATCCTCAAATTCCAGAGAGAGAGAGAGAAAGAGTGCCTGCAGCAAATGCACTGAATAAATGTGAGAGCTTCTTATTGGAGTGACATTAAATTAAATAAGACCGGGTGGCCTGGGGAAATGGAGTCAGGTTACCCAATAGCCATTAATGAGAAAAGCCATATTGACCCCTCTGTAGAGTGGACCAAGCCGTTTCTCCTGTTGACTTACAGCCGCGCATCTCCCATCCTCCCCCACTTCACTCCATCTTCTTCAAAGCTCAAGAGAGCAAATGGCAATTAGATCTATAACATTTATTTTAGGGGTGCGTGAGCCTAAAAGAATAGCGGGATGGTGATACTGATGGGCAGTGGTGATACGGAACAGCCCGTCTAGGCTCGCTAAACCGCTTGAACGCCTTGCTTCGCGCTCCCCGCTTTGTCTCTTTGCTGTTGTGCTGATAGATTGCTAATTCAAAATGCATTTTGGATGCTAATACAGTTGTAAGTGCTTTCATAGATCATGGATGCGCAGTTTGCAGTAGAAAACAAAGGAGATGAATGCATTTATGATATGGAAAGACAACAGGCGGCACATGAAAGGCAGGCCTTTATGAATAAGGCAGAGACCTCTGCGCCGGATATTGACTCAGGACATGGCAGCATGCTTTGAAATTCACTTTTTTTGAAGGCAGTGCAGCAGATGTATTTTTTACAGCGTCTAGACATGTATTTCATTTAAACAAGCTGCGTGGCGTAAGGCGGCTGCCGCTCACAGGGACTCCTCATCTGTGATTTCACATGTTGTCACAGACTGGTGTGAGTTTTGGCTGTCTGCGGACGCACGCTGCGACATTCACGCACTTCTAAGCCTGTACGTTCTGGAGAAAAAAAAAGAAAAAGAAGCTACTCTCGATTCATTGTTGAATGTTTTGCAGTAGAAATGTGAACACACTTAAAACAAGATCAATTTTCCCTGAGAAGAAAAATTCCATGTGCCTTACTGGATCAATTTCACAGACTGTAATGACATGGTTTCCAACATCGAAATACCTTTTTAATTCTTTACTCTCTTTTATATTACCATGCCATTAAATAACAATAAATGAGATACAAATAAAAATGACACTGCAGGTGTTTGAGGAAAATTCTCTCTTTCGATCGCTGAATTCAACCTTTTTATATTTTTATTATTTCTCTTTTGCTCTAAGAGCGCATTGGAATCAAACAGTTTCTCCACTATAGACATTTACTCAACTATGGCAGCTTCTGAGAATTCCACAGTTTTCAAAATCACAAATGTAGCTGCAATGTTTGAATAAAAAAATCACATGCATTTCTAAATAATGTTAATAATACCAATTTGATTAAAAAGGGCCTCTAACACAATGACCAAAGGAGGGATGAAAAATTAAACATTCTCCTTTTGCTTTCTTTTAGAATCACAAACGTTTATTTTTCCCAATTTATAGCTTCCAGAAAAAAAAATGTAAATGCAAAAATGTTATTTGCTGTCATCTCCCATTTACTGCTAAAGAAGTTTACCCAGCTATGGAGACTTCTGCTCATGAGAAATGTGAAAAGGGCCCATGACAGATTTTTTGCACTTCTTTCAAGCAAAACCTCACTAAATGTATTATTTATTATAACAGCCATTTTTTTTCCACTGAGAGGGCTCGAAACGAGTGACGCGGAGAGGAAGAAGGAAACAGAAAGGACAGCGAGATGGCAACCGGTTAACACAATGGACTGTCAGAATCAGCGCTCAGGGCAAGACATCATCTTATGACAATAGTGCATAACTGTATGGTAAGGAAAATACACCTCCTCTCTCTTTCTCTGGAGCTTGCTGCCAAAATCTCTACATATAAGCAGCTCCTTCATGCTTTTTAAAATCAACGAATGCTGTTGAAGTCTGCCACATGGTGGAATCAGACACTGCAAAAGTGACCCCTAGCACCAGAAAGAGAAGGCGAAGAAGTAAGTATACCTCAGGACTAAGAAGGAAAGAGAGGGGATAGAGAGCATTTACCTCTCGTGCAGTTCCTTCAGTGTCTGATCTCTTTCATCTAACTGAGCCCTCAGGCTCTTGTTAGCAGCAGTGTGTTTGCTCATCTCACTGCTGGCACTCTGTGGAGAGAAAGAGTCACACATTTATCCTATCATCTGATATCCCATCGTGCGGGACTCATTTATGAATATTGAGCCGTCGGGATGCTTAATGAAGATGCTGTTTCACATCTGCTTCACAGAAATATACACATCTACATATGTCCTGTACATCGCCTTTTGTTTCCTTTATAGGACACTGATGGGACTTAAAAAAATGTTAAGATCAGTCAGGTTATATTGAAATGCAGATTTTTTTTCTCTTATACTCTAGAGTCTTAAAGTGTAGGTTGTTTTACTGGACAACGTTTAAATAATATTCATTAAAAAAGTTGTGTGTAGAGCTGGGCAGATCACTTCAATCATTTACTGATTACAAATTACATGACAGAATCTGTAGGTAGTAATATAATCAGGCTAATTTTGGATTACTTTAGATTACTTTTGTGGTAAACCTTGTCTGAATTCACATAATCTAAATTATTTTTAATGTGCAATACTTCAAAATATTAACCCTCATATACCACACTGTTGGTGTTGACGGAATAAATACCAATGGCATTTCATTATTTTAAAATATTTACTTGAAATTAACTAATTTAGACAGCATTACAAAAAAGCAATATTGAAAACACAACAACACTGCTGCATCAAAAATTTTATCTAAACACACACACACTAGAAGTGCATATGGCAGCAACAATGAGAAACATCAAACAATTGCAACATTGCAAATGTGAAGAATCACGAATGTATTAAGTGGGAGGTTTATTATGAAAAAATAATATTGAAGTTTAAAAAAAGAAAAATCTTTATAATCTTTAACACTTTAGTTTAAGTACCAATTCTCACTATTAAATAGGGGCTTATTCTGCACAATCTTAGTGTACATCCCTAATCTTACCCAATACCTTAACCAGAGATGCCTAAAGCAGGGCCCGCGGGCCAAAGTTGGTCCGCTGTAACCTTTGAGATGGCCCACCATCTCATCTTAGAAGAGAGTGAGAAAGATTAAAAGGGTTGGTGTGTTTTATTGCAGAGCTACAAAAAATGAAATCTTTCAATTGCTGTAAATGAATCAGATTTTTAAAAATGTAAATACTGTCACACGATGGACAGAGGACTATGCAGAAGACATCAGTGAGCAGATCAAGACAAAAACTAGTGTAACTCCATGCTGTTATAAATGAGTGTTTTTGTTTTTTTTCCGTAGAAAGTTCATTATAAAATGTAAAAACAAAAAACATTATACTGTTATACATTATACATTATACTAATATACTATTAGTTAATATAAAGCAAAGTTTTCTAGTTGTATTTAAATTTTACTAGATAAATTGGGAAATTACCCATGGCAATTATATTAACATTTGGCTCACAAGCTTAATCAACTTTGGTTTTTGGCCATTCATAAGGAAAAGTTGAGGCACCCCTGACCTAAACCAAACAATCTTAATAACTATTATTATAAATTAGAAGTTTATTCAGCTAAAAGTCATATTTAATGGTTGGTTAATATCTAGAATTGTACCTTAAAATAAAGTGTGACTGGATAGTCGAAAAATTGTGAATAACTCACTGCCATTGTGCAATGAACCATAGGATAAATAATTTTTTTAACCCTTTAATTGTCTGCTCTGACCATATTTTGACTGTTTGAAATATTGACTGTTAAAGTCATTTAAAGAATGATTGTTTAAGTAATGGTTTACACACACAGCATTATTGATTTACCAAAAAAAATAAATAAATAAAAATAAATTTAACAAACATAATCCTGAAGAAAAAAAAGAACATGTTGAATGATAATCTGAAATACCTTATGGCACACTTCAAAAAAATAAAGATGATTTAGTATTAAAAATGTTTTATTTTAATTATGTTTTTAAAATTAATTGGTCTTACACTTCATATTTTTAGATTTTTTATATGTATTAATTCCAGTACTTTTATATAAACTGACATATCAACCATTTGGTGGTGGATGATATTTTAGATATTATGGAATGTGTTGATAAAAATGCATTGAGTGTGTTAACAAGCAACATTATAAATTAAGAAATGCAATCCAACATTTTTATTTCTTGGTGGGGCATTTAAACGGTTAAGTAGTTTATTGTAGTTACAAGTACTTGATGTTTGAATCTAAGTACATAATTCCTAGACAGTTCTGGTTGTAATATTTATCTTTTTAAAAATCCATATGAAATTAAACTTCAGCAAAATATGGGAGGCAGTTTTGTAATCATGAAAACAATGAACTTGAAATAAAAAAAACAATAATCTGTCATTGAATCGTATTTTTCTTTTTTGCTTCAATGTTTATTTATATATTTATCATTTCTAGCATTACTCATTATGCTGGGTTTTGATCTATTTAGTGGCACATTTGTTCAACCTCTGTGAATGTGTGTCAAGGTAAGAGGCACACGCACAGAGCGTCTGAAAAACTCCGAGGACAGGTTGAGTTGGTGGGATGCCTGTGATCATGTGAATGATGGATATTTGTATGTGCACCTTGTCTTTAGTTGAAAGGAATAGAGGACTCGTTTATGTAGCACACATCCTGACTGTATCTCAGCCACACACCCACACACACTCCTGTCTCATGAACATGACACTAGCATTGAGGCCAACACAGAAATATAAAGAGCACTGCCAGACCCCATTTACCAGTTTGCTGATTTAAAAAAACCAAAAAAAAAAACTACTTTTATCACTTTTAACTTATTTATAAGAAGAAGAAAACTGTGGATATTTATGAATATGAATTCTATATCAAAACTACCACAGCAAATATATATACTGTATACATATATAAAAAATACATATGATATAATTTATTATAGCATAATAAAATTGGTGTTTTTAGCAAATGACTGCACTACTGCAATTCACAGATCTACAGAGTGGAAAGTCTGGAATGTGGAACAGAATTTAATCATTTTAATAACACATTTTATCAACAGCGGGATCATCTTTTCATCTTACAGGTCTGAAACTGCTAGAAAAACTACTCAAAAGGGCAAATAAGCAAATAACAAAATTATTAAATGTTTTTACATTTTTTAACATGGCTGAATTTATGAGAAATGGTACTTCACGCTGAGACTGCATCATCAGCTCAGGTTTGCATTATCTTTCAAAAATTCAATGGCCTGTGATCAATTATTCTTTATTTTATATAATAAATACTTTTTCCTAGTTATTGCTCTGCATACTATGAGAATACTCTGGGCTTGTGATGAATTGTTTGTTAGGTTCTATACACAAGAAGCTGTTAATAGACACAAAAGATCCATACTGTTTAAGGCTTATATACAGTTAAAGTCAGAATTATTAGCCCCCTTTGAATTTTTTATTTATTTTTTTTTACATTTTTTAATATTTCCTAAATTGTTAAACAGAGCAAAGAAATTTTCACAGAATGTTTGATAATATATATATATATATATATATATATATATATATATATATATTATTTTTTTTTTTTTTCTGGAGAAAGCCATATTTGTTTTATTTCGGCTAGAATAAATGCATTTAAAAAAAAACATTCAAGGGACAAAATTATTAGCCCTTTTAGCAAATTTTTGTTTGATAGTCTACAGAGCAAACCATCATTATACAATCACTTGCCTAATTACCCTAACCTGCCTAATTAACCTAAACAACCTAGTTAAGCCTTTAAATGTCTCTCTAGTAAAATATTACTTACTGTCATCATGGCGAAGATAAAATAAATCAGTTATTAGACATGAGTTAATAAAAATATTATGTTTAGAAATGTGTTGAAAAAAATCTTCTCTCCGTTAAACAGAAATTGGGGAAAAAATAAACAGGGGTCTAATAATTCAGGGGGACTATTAATTCTGACTTAAACTGTAAGTAAATAAATAAATAAATAAATAAATAAATAAATAAATAAATAAATAAATAAAGAAAGAAAGAAAGAAAGAAAGAAAGAATGTCTTTTTTATGTTTTGTTCAGATGCTAATCATCCCACACAGGATAGTGTTTAATTACATCAGTCAAATGTATAAACTGAATCTAAGGAAATGAGAGTAATCGTAAGAGACCTTGAGTCGTTGAGTGAGCTGTTTGACTTGGGCCTGCAGGCGTTCCGGCTCGGAAGCGGGGGGGTTCAGTGACGTCTGCTGCCGTATACGTCTCCACTGCTCTAACTCCATCTGCAAAGATGCTTTCTGCTGCTCCAGACCAGCCAACTCGCATGCCTGCTTCTGCTCTCCAACATGCGTACAAAGAAAGAATAAACAAATCCACATGTAAGGGCTCCTACAACAAACAAACGAGCAGATTCATATCAATTAAGAGAGCAACATGACAATCCGCCAAACGTCTGATTAAAAAGATTCTGCTGAGTTTTATGATTAAGAAGCATTTTTAAGGCCCAGGACATAGCAGTCTGCGATTAAAGCCCTAAATCCGATTAAAGTGGTATGCTAATAAGGAGACAGATCATTCCCTCGTTTTCCTGTTGATTGTCAGCCTTAATAGAGCCATTGTCAGCTCGTCCCAGTGCACTCTGGGAGTTTATCAGCACTGCGTAGAGCTGAAAGTGGAGCATCAGGGCTAATTGCGCTCTCACTCACTAACACGCGCAGTTACTGCATAGAACTAAGTGAATAACACAAAGCCCTGTTTGGGGAATAAAACCACAGAGTTTATAACAACACTCGGATACGATACTTCACCCTCTGTCCAAACATAATGATTTCTTACTGCACCCATCATACAATATGGCCCAAATCAGGGAGAAAACACACACGCACACACTGTCTAGTGGAACATCTCAAACACTATTCGCGCAGCTGCTGATATCTGGTTTCTGACCTTTTAATAGAACATTTTCTCTTTTTTTAGTGTTGTGCTAATGAAAGACATGCCAGCAACACACTGAGAGGCATTAATGGTGTTTCCAGTAATTTGAGGGTGTATAAATGACTCTGGGCTGAAAGATCATGTGGTGTTCTACAGTCTGCATCATCCTCACATATCTGTTGGTCCATTCCAATTTGTGCTATAAAGCAAAGCTTAACATTTTTTTCTCTAATGACAAAGACTAAAATATGCATTGGCATCTTTGCATGGGGCTTTGTTCCTAAAATATAAAGATACACATTTGGAAAAATTTAAATAATTTTTTAACTTCTTAAAGTCAAGTGCTATTTTTGGGTTTCCACCTGGATTTTGCCTACCTAAATTCAAAAGCTTCCCACATGCATAGGTGTAAATGCAAAAGTTTGTTATCATTTTAAAGAAAACTTCTTGTATATGTTGTTTGTGTTTTAATAAACCCATCTAAAAAAGAGGTGCTTTTTGTGTACACTCAAACTTGAGAGAGGTTCTGTGTGATCAAGGTTGCTGTAATTAATTTTGTTGGTTCCTGAACATGTCAGTAATCATTCAAAAAAAGAAAAGTGTCTCTATCTATGCAAAAGTTATTATATTCCAACTGATGAGAGAACGGAACCACTTATGGGGGTACTGGGCCAGTATTTGAAAGAATGTGGAAAAGAATTTTTAATATTTATATATACTTGGACATTATTGTCATGATTATTTAAATTTTTAAACTCAGGTTTCCAAAAATCACAAAAATAATAATAGAAAAATTGTTAAATGTCAGTTGGAAGTTTGCATGTTCTCCCCATGTTGGCGTGGGTTTCCTCCGGATGCTCGGGTTTCCCCTTCAGTCCAAAGACATGCACTATAGGTGAAATGGGAGCTAAATTGTCTGTATAGTATGCGTTTGAATGAATGAGAGTGTATGGTGTTGCCCAGTGATGGGTTGCAGCTGAAATGTATCCGCTGCATTAAACATATGCTGGATAAGTTGGTGGTTCATTTCCGTATCGACCCCAGACTAATAAAGAGGCTAAGCCGAAAAGAAAATGAATGAATGAACATTCTTAACATGCATTTACATTTAACAATTTCATTCATTCATTTTCTTTTCTGCCCTTCCATCTGCAACCCATCACTGGGAAACATCCATATACACTTATTCACACTCATACACTACGGACAATTTAGCCTACCCAATTCACCTGTGCCGCTTGTCTTTGGACTCTGGGGGAAACTGAAGCAACCGGAGAACACCCACGCAAACATGCGGAGAGCATACAAACTCCAAACAGAAATGCCTACTGACCCAGTCGAGGCTCGAACCAGCAACCTTCTTATATTAATAATAATAATAATAATTAAAAAAAATAATAAATACATGGCAAAAATAAAATGAGCTAAACTTGTTATAAAAACCATGCTACACACATTTATTTAATTTAATTTGGAATAAATTAATTTTGATAGTCTACAAGACAAACCATCATTATACAATAATTTTTCTAATTACCCTAACTTGTCTAATTGCCCAAGTTAATTAAGCATTTAAATTTAGCATTTGTCACTTAAAGCTGAATACTAGTATCTTGAAAAATATCTAGTAAATGTTATGTACAGTCAACATTGCAAAGATGAAAAAAAACAGTTAAAAGAGATGAGTTATTAAAACTATTATATTTAGTAATGTGTTAAAAAACATCTCTCCATTGAGTGAGACAGAAAATGACAAACATATCCAGGGGACTGACTACAACTGTATTCTATACATATAATACAGTTGTAGTCAGCCCCCTGGATACTATACGTGTATTATATTTTTTTATTATATTTATTTTAAACACATATAAACTCTTTATATATTTGTATTCGTATATAAAATACTTTCTGCAAGAATAAATGTGGTTGAGCAGATTTGTCACGTCTACAGATCAGTGATTTACGAATCGCCGTGACCAGTCAGTCACCTGGAGCAGTAAATTAAACTGTCAAGCTTGTTAGAATCCAGTCACACTCGTCTCTCTCACCAAACTCGGACGAGATGTGGGGAGGTTAGTTTGGCTTAGCGCTAACAGCCCCTGAAAGCCTCTCTGTCAGACGAGCAGTCTAATCCTGAAGTAATCCCGACCCTTCCTAAAAGAGGAACACGGACTACACCTGCAAATTACGCAGATTACAGGCCCGCTCTGTCAAACAGGCTGTCAAAGTCCCTCCGCCGTGGTGATAGGAGGGGTTCTGCCACACTGCCCCCGTAATCCCACCGCAATGATTAATGTGAACGGCTCAAAGGTGTGACAGGCGTCTTCAGCAGAAGGCTGACCTGAGTGGGGGTGGATAGGTGAATGTGTCGTACCTGTCAAAGTACATCAAGTGTACTTCCTCTGTCAAGCAGAACAGCATGAGCTCCAATTCAGGACAAATAGAGCACTTTTGTCATCTACATTTATTGCGTCACAGCACCAGCTTGTGGCGGGATCACTTGTTGAACAGCGTAAAAATGTGTTGACTCTTCGTTTAAGTGCGAAAGGCAAGAAAAGGAGTGTGAAAGCAGCTTGAAGCTCCGCAGGGACATGCGCTATGATTGACTGATGAAAGTGACACTTCACTGTTGAGCATGTGTTCCACTTAGAGAGAACAAGGAACACACACGCACACTCACACTAGACAGCAGATGCATTATATCAGGTGCTGTTAAAACCGCTGTTCTAACACATGCAGGAAAGGGAGAAGCCATTCAACTCATCTAATATACATCACAGAGTCTGTAATAAGAGATCCGTTCTGTGCTAATACTGCATATGACATCCGTGTGATCACTACAGGAGCTCTGTGACACTTCAACTGTGGTACACTGTGACTACGCTGCTTCCAGCTTTAATTGAACTTGGCCCTTTTTCACAGGAGCTTTGTCTTTTCTGCCTAGGCAATATAATGAGAGGGAGAGAGACAGACAAGAGAGAGAGAGAAAGAGAGAGAGAGAGAGAGACATTAAAATGAGCAAAATAAAGGATCGATACCAGACCACAAAGGGCACAGGGATCAATGTGAGCTGAGAGTAGTGTGACACCCGACACGAACACTAATACAGAGGAAACACAGACTCTCACTCACACATCGGAGAGGGGGGAAGCATCACAACTCGCAAATGAATAAATGCCAAGGGCTTATTATTCCTGTGCAACATGGCTGACGATACAAATATTTTCAATTAATGCAATTACCTCTAAATACAATTATACAACTACAAATGTGGATTATTTTGTTAAACAGCTATTTTAGTTTTAAATTTTCATTTTGCCATAATTATTGAAACTTTTATCATCATGATATATGCAAATATCACTGCAAAAAAGGTTACTTCAACAGGAACAATAACAAAAAAAGTTCATTGCTTTATTATCTATACATGTCTAAAGTACACACGATTTCAACCAAATTAAATTGCAAAAGGATTATATAGGTAGCTATTGTTACTATTATTTTAAAATACAACTTCATTTTGTTAGTGTTTAACTCTATTGGGGAATTACCAACCTACGCCACACATGACGTCACATGGGCTTAACTGCGCTTAATGGTTTTAAAAAAAAAAACATCAGTTGAAAGAACAAACATGTCGTGTTGTGCAGTAGGATGCCAAAATGGAAAGTCCAAAACTAGAAAACTTAAATTTTACTATACAACGCACTGCTTTTAATGCCAACCGCAGACAGATGTCTTTAGCTAACAGCCATCATAAGAGCTGAATGGAGTAAGGGCCTATTTAAAAATGGTAGACTCTGCAGTTCTTATTTTATATACAAGTTCACACTATGCTGAATCATACACATTACTTGTTTTTGATTTCAGCAGTGATTTAAGCAAAAACAGGTAAATAAGGTTAATTAAACTGCGAACACTAATTATCCGTTCACATACCCTGCCATACAGGTGCAGTTCGCTGTCAGAATGCAGTTGTTTTGCTTGTTGATGATTGATGACAGAACTTTGGTTTACAGCACTACAAAGTTTTGAATCTGGTAATCATGGAACATTTTTTCTTGCACATGACCACACAGAGCAAAACTGTAGGCATCTAAAAACTTGTAAGCCCTTAACTTCTCTCTTAAAATCACTTGGAGTTTCGGTGAGGTAGTTGTATATTTGGGGCTGGATGCTTGGCTATTTCGTCTTATCCAATATCCATTAGGAGGGTGCTATCGCGATTGGAACTGGCAGACGAACACCGCTCACTTTAACGTTAATTTTGCCAAATAACTGTGCTTAAAACTGGATGACAAGCTGTTGTTACATGCTGAAAGCATTATGTAAATAAAATATATATAATATGTAATCAATATAACTTATCTCTAATACAACAACAAACTCTGTACCG